GATAAGTTTCACCTTTTTGAGACTTCAGAATTGACTGCTTGGTATTTGCAGTAGTGGTACAATTTTCCCGAATTCAGAAGGCTATAACTGGGTGAAAGTTTTGTCCTTCCCAAAATTTACACGGATAAACTACTCAGCTAGTACAAGAAGCATGTTGGTTGTCAGGTGTAAAAATTGAGAATTATTTGTACATGTGCTTTCTGACATTTTTTATATCAAAAATTGTGTGCTTTGTGACATTTGACAATACTGGAAAACTGGTGCATAAAGGCCAGAGTACGTCGTAGTGCATTTCTGTGATCTGTAATATTTTCTTTGTCTTTATCATGGTTGGTCCACCATAGTATGATGATGCACCTTCAGACAAAGCAATAAAAAGTAGTGGCTGGTTTTTCAGGAGATAAACCATCTCTTTGGCCTTTGCGCTCTATTTTTCTCCATGTCCTTTTGTTTTGTTGGTTTTTCTTGCTTTCCTATTGCTCTGCTAATGTTCGATAGTGATGGCATCTAGCTTTAGTGTCACGAAACAGGTAGATTCTCACTTTTTGCTGCTTGATCATGTAAATGAAAAGTTGTTTTCTGTTTGCAGATATTTCGGTTCTGTAGATCGAAGTGTCACAAGAACTTTAAGATGAAGAGGAATCCACGAAAAGTTAAGTGGACTAAAGCATATAGACGGCTGCATGGAAAGGACATGACTCAGGTGAGTAGTATTCCTCCTTTTCGTTCTTCTTTTCCTGTTGCATTTGCTCCATCCACTCCACTGATTTGCTTATTCTTCTTCAATTATGAATTCTGTTGTTGCTGCATGTTGCTATTTGAAGGACTCAACATTTGAATTTGAGAGGAAGCGCAATAGGCCGGAGAGATATGACAGGAATGTCACTGAGAACACTCTGAAGGCCATTCGCAAAATTGATAAAATCAGAGTTGTCAGGGATGAAAGGCACCACAAAAACAGGTCCCTTTTATACTGCTCCACTAATTCACATCATGTAGTTTTATTTTCTTTTTTTATATACTAACATTAGTTGGAAAATTGGACAGGATGAAAGGAAAGAAAACCAAGGAGCAGAGAGAGGCAACAAAGGAGCTCGAGCAGAGCATTCATATGGTTAAAGCTCCTGCTGCGCTTGCGAACGACCCATCTCTCACCTTGCCTATCAAGGTCAAGGTTTCACAGCAGAAATCCGAGGAAAATCGTATGGAGGAGTAAACATTTCCTTTATTCTCAAAACTCAAATGCAAAATCATAACTTTCCTGCAGTGGTCAATTTTGTCGGCGTGCGTAACAATATGTATAGCCTTTTTGATGACTTGTTAATGGTCATTACTTTGAGAAAATACACTTATCTTTCGTGCTCACTAGTGATGACTCTTTTTTTGAAGAAATTATCAGAATACTTCATCCTGTAGAAGAAATGTTTACTAGTTGGGTATATCTTGTGTTTTCGATTATGAATTATTTGTTGGATCTTTTTCATTTCTTCTGAAGAGACACAGTGCGCTTTGACTTGGATTGTGGAGAAGATAAATTGGAATAGATCGACAGGTTGATGCTTAAGAAGCCACCTGCTTATTGTTTGCTGCAAAAACCATGATATAAAATTTGCACAGTTTAGATTAGCTCTTTGAGAATACTGGCGATTTATTGTTTGTCAACCGTATAAGGCAATAATGGATAATCATTTTTTAAGTGGATAATGATTCTTATCTATATTCGATCCGTTTTTAAACAGTTTATTATCCAATTTATTTTTAATGGATAATATGAGTGGATAACTGTATTTTTTAAACCATTTTGCCACCTCTACTCACAACTTACCTTTTCGGAGGTGAAAGCGTAGTTTCACCTAGATTGTACCGCCGATATTGGCGACAACTAAACTTATTCGATACAAGATTCTCCAAAAAAAGAATGTGTTATTCCCAAGATTGACACTAATTCCTTTTTAGTTCGTTAAAAATAGAATGACACATCTTTAAATTTGAAAACAAGTTTAATTGACAAGCTTTTACATAGATGCACAAAATATTTAAAATTACAAATTTCAAAAGTCAACAATGACATAAATGAGTGTATTTTTGTATATCACATGGCAACGAGAAGAATAGCGTTTCAGATTTTAGTTACGTGTATATGTAGAACTTTTCTCATCATAATTCTAATAACAATGTTATTTGGCTTTTTGTAGTTACGGCACTTGGCTTAATGAGATTGCCTTTTCTTCTTTTAATCAAAATATAATTATAGATAAATGTTGAAAATAACGAGGTCAACAAAGATTCTCCTCGACACATTTCAACAACAAAATTTCTAACATCAGACATCAATACAGTTGTTGATTCTCACAGCCAAATCTTCTATATCTATATATTATTAAAATGAGAAGAAAAAAAATACCATATTAAGCCAAGTGGCATTGCCACAATTAGCCAAGTGGCACTCATTTAGCACTCATATTGAAATATAGGACAATACACGGCAAAAAATGAGAGATCAAAATAACTGTAGTAGGATGGAAGAAGGGGTTAATTTGGGTTAGAGAACGTCGAACAACCAAAGTTCTAATTAAGAGAACTCTCTTCTACATTGAAAGCAAGCATATTGATTTGAGTAAGGGAGCTTTATTTTATTTTTTTGTAAATAACACTTCTTCACCTTCTTTACGTTTTAAATTTTGTTTATGTTGTGTTTATAAAAAAATACTGTTTCTGCATATGAGTTGCATGTCCAGATTCTTATATGTTTACTAAAGTTGTTTGGCTTAAAATTTCCTCTTATTTTAACTGCATTTTTTTTGCCGATTCTTCGTTCTTCCCCTAAATAAACTAATTTTTTCCTTTTTTTGTTTAATTTTAGGCGCAATAGGGATTTTATCAAAATACTTCTTCATATGATGAAGAAATGAAAAAAGGGCACTTGAGAATGACTTCAAAGTCCATGGCAGAAAAATATAGTGACGGTACAGACATGAATTTCTACGTACTAACTACTAAGATTTGTATTCTCTCAAAAAGCTCAAAAAGTACAACTTTAGAGAAGATTGTATCCAACAAAAATAAAGGATAAAAAAAGATAATATAAAACTAGAAGAAGTCTATCACATAAAATGTTAGACACAAATTTTAAAAAGTTGGTTAACCAAGCTCATTGGTTCGAATGACTTCATTACAACACTCCGAGCTTGGTAAAGAAAAAACACAACACTGAGCAAGACTCTGCAGCATAAATGTCAGATCATTGACTCTACATAGCAATTATTTAGGGCAAGGAGCTTAGAACTAAATAAAGGACTGCAAAATGGCCACATACCTTTGATAAATTACTCTTTTCAATATATGTGTTACTCTTTATTGTAATTGATTTATTGAGGAAATAATCTTAAATCCCAACTTCATAAACACGTAAATAGAGCAAGCAAGTCTTTGACTTAATAGACCAAATTAAAGTATAGGTATTCCTTCCGTCCCAATTTATACGAGGATTGATCTATTCGGGAGTCAAACAACTCTTTCTTTGACTATAATTTTTTCCAATTCCTTTCATATATTGTGAATTATTAATTATGCAGACTTATAGTACTTTTTATATAGTTTTCAAATATATAATTTTATTAAAAATACTCGAAGAATCTATATTTGAAATTGAGTCAAAGGAAGAGTTATTTGACTCCCCAAATAGGTCAACCCTCAAATAAATTGGAATGGAGAGAGTACATCTTATGTGATATGGATCGTGAACTAAGGTACGATGTTATATCTTCTGACTCGCTTCTTTGTTGGTATATGTGTGTATGTACATTCGAATAGTCAAGTATAGAGTGCAGTAAGATGATTAGCTCGAGAAGATGCAAGTTTTATGTTCCCTTTTTACACATTAGCATTCTTCTCGGATAATCACATTTTTACCCATTAATCGTATGCTCCAAGTTTTACTATCATTCTATGATAACAAAAAAATCATATGGGCAAATTTTATGTGTATGTTTTGTGTGTGCGTCTAATCAAATTTATCATGTAGTTTGTAAATTTATCGAGACGTGGAAAAATATGCTAAAGATATATGATCAAAACTCGCGCGAGTTTGCCATGACATATGTGGCTGAAAGTTGATGGGAAAACATAGAAACATCAAAAGTATAAACATTGTAAAATCTTAAGAAAAACAAATTGTTCAAAGCTTTCCTTTTGGAAATTTCTAAGCAATTTTAGTTTATTATAATTGATTAGGATACCAACGCCAAATATGAGTGGAGTTGCTATGAGGCACAATTTTTTAAGCATGATTAAAACTATAATGAGTGTCAGATGTTTAATCCACAAATATTAATAAAGCTTGTAGACAGACAGAAAGCAGAAAGAGAGCCCGAGGTGCTGACCCGCAGCGAGGCAGGGGCGTTCTTAATGTTTTCTTTCCTTAGATATTATTAACAAGCAGAATGGAGATATTATTAACAAGCGGAATAGAGATCTTAAAAGTAGAAAGCGGGCTATTATTAAACTTTGCTGTTATATATAAACTAATGCATCCATATTAGAACTATTATTATGCTTTAAATAAAGTTCTTCCGTTACAGTTGTGTTAAGCTAATTGTGCTTTATTGTGATGAACGCAATTATACTATGAAATTCAATTTTTGTTTTCTTTACTACCACATCCGTGAATTATGCAGGTACTTATAACAACAAATAACAATATACCCAGTATAATTCCACATTATAGGGTCTGTTGAGGGTAAAGTGTATGCAGCTGTTTCCGAAAGACCCTCGGCAGATACTTATTATATACTATATAAAAGCAAAAACTTTAGATTTGTCATTGTAACAACTGTCTTTATTAGATATGTCCATAAAATTTACATTTAGCTAAAAATATGGCAATAATTATTTATGATATTTTTCTCTAATACTTTTCGCGCATCGCGTCGGTACTATACTAGTATCTATAAAATGAGAAGCAAAAGAATGTAGTGATGCCCTAGTGGCATAATCACATTTCAACAAGTATCGTTTTTGGACAAATCTCCAATAATAAAGTTGGAGTTTAATAGGCAAAAAAGTCGCTCAAAACCGGTTCATTTTTTGCTACGCTCCAAAATTGCTCTTGAAAGCCAAAATAACTACTTGAATTAAAAGAGCCCCACCAAAGATCACACTTTGCAAAGAACAATGGATTTGAAATTTTAGGGATCTGTGCCGATTTTAGGGATAATTGGAGCTATTATTGAAATTTTTGTAATTTCAATTCCTGTTTGTTACTCTTTTATCTCTCTTTCTGCTTTTTTCTCTTTGCTTATTCTCAATTTATATTTTTGTATTTGAAAATTTCTTCTTCCTTTTTCTTGGCAAGAGGTTTAAATAAATATTTGAATGGACTATAATGGATGTGAAAGAACAATCAACAATGTCGCTAAGAATGTCAAAGGGTTTGTACAATTGTTATTCTTCTTCAAAACAGAAGCTTTCTTCTTCAATCAGTCCATCAGCCTTCTAAATTCTTTTTCTCCATTTTCTTTGTAGTTTTCAAGATTGTTCAAATACAACTTCAAATAATTTGGCCTTTTCCCCATCCTCTATTTAATAGAGTCTTTACACACTCAATTTAGTTAAGTTTGAATGTCAAAAGTCGATTGATTCTGATATCTTATCACTTTATCTTCATGTTCAAGTACAGTCAATGTTTATGAAAACTGAATTGCTTAGATTTTTTTTTTAAATTCCAAGGTCTTAAACTGACTATGTTAAAATGCAGTGATTGAAACCTAGAATGGGTCAAACTCTGTTTACTCGCAAAGGTAAAGCAGAATGCTGCGATTTGAACCTCACAGAACAATGCAAAGTTTTTTTCATTCTACTCGATTTCAGCTTATAGTTTGAGGACGAGGATAGTTAACCATTAATTGTAATATTTTTGGATGCTGAAGAAAGTACAAAGCGAGGAGATGCAAAGCAATGGGAGTAGTGAAGGATCAGGTAATTTAGTGCTCACTATTTCTCGAGAAAACATGTTTAAGGGCTATTGCCCAACCTGTTGAAAATTTTATTTATTTCGGGAAAGTTCTCTTTATGATAAGATGTCTATACAATAGGAGTCAAAAATCTTATTAAATTCGTCAACCCTTTTAACTTTATTGATTAAGGTGGTAATTTCGTACAACAACCTTTCTTACATGAAAGTAAAAGATGACCATCTATTATAGTTTGACTGGAAATTTGTGATTATATTTGATGTATAGGAAAAAGAATTGTGTATTCGTAGCCCATACTTTAATTTAAAAGGTATTTAGACTTCACAAATTATTATGCATACATGTTTGTTGCCACTGTGCCACATGAATTCAAAACTTCAATTATGACTTTCTTCCCATTTGATTGCTTATGGACAATATTCAGCAATAAGTAAAATATGATATTTCCTGCTGTGCTTGCAAATTTGGAGAATAAGGAAAAGGAGGACTTAGAGTGAAACCATGTCGTACTATAGGTTATGTCAGTCATACATTTGCGTGTTTTCATGTATGATACTATAGATACTAATCCCAATCTTTAATGGAAAAACAAAGTGAACAAACAAGCTGTATACTTCACACCTCATTTGATTCAAATGTTTATCAAAGAGCTGACTGCATTCTTTTTCTATTTATTGATTGCAGATCTTAATATTTTTAGCCTTTTCGTAATTGCATAAAACTAGATAATGACATAAGAAACAAGGACGCACATTTCTTTTTCAGGCGAGTTTATGTTGTTATACACGATCTTCCTTACTTCAATATTTGAATTATGGTTGGATATGCAAAGATCTACTTATCACTCACTCTTTGGTTAGTTTTGTTCATTTTCTTACTAGAAAGCATCTCCCGTGCCCTTCCTTTGGCATTGCTGTATGGTCTAAACTATCTGTCCTTAACCCAATTCATCGACTGCTTTCACTAGCAATATAAGCTTTTACACAGTACATCTTGCAGTTGTCTTCAATGTTCTGTTGTTTTCCTCCTTGAACTTATGTCGTTCATGTTCGCTGACTTCTTTGAATGAAAATCGTGAATTGTTCATGAAAACAGGAAGTCAAAATTGGGTATTGTAAAATCTTCACTTAAATTTTCTGTTCCTGAGGCTCTTTGGGCTGTTAACAGTTAAAGAATTTGCTGGTTTAACATCCTTAATCAGGCTCTGAATATTATAGGTTAAGTTGAATTAGACAATTCTAATTGTTGTTGTTGTTGTTGTTGTTAATTAGAAAAGAATATTAGATTCTTGATGCGATACTGACCTGCAAAGAATTAAAAGCTCTTATTCTTTGATATTTTCTTCAAATAAGTTTTCTGCTATGCGGGGAGGAAGCATAATTCCTATTTTTACTTTAATTGTGTACTATGACTTAGGACATTCGTTCCATTTGACGGAAGTTCTCTATCAATACATCTTTCTCATAACAATAGACCTATTGTAACGATCCGACCGGTCGTTTTGAGTATTATAACCCCGTTCCTCCATTTACTGTACAATTTATGCCTTATAATTATTTTATAACTTACCGGGTTAGTTGGTTCGGGTCAGGAATGAATTCGAAATGAAATGAGACACTTAGTCTCATAATTGAAAATTTAAGTTAGAAAAGTTGACCAGATGTGGACCTAAGTGTAAAAGACCTCGGATTTGAATTCTGATAATTCCAACATCTCTGTATGGTGATTTTGGATTTAGGAGCGTGTCCGAAAAATTATTTGGAGGTCCGTAGTGGAATTATGTTTGAAATGCCGAAAGTTTAGTTTTTGGGAAGTTTGACCGGGGTTGACTTTTTGATATCGGGATCGGAATCCGATTCTGAAAATATGAATACCTCCATTATATTATTTATGACTTGTGTGCAAAATTTGAGGTCAATCGGACATGATTTGATAGGTTCCGGAGTCATTTGTAGAAATTAGAAATTTCAAAGTTATTAGGCTTGAATTGGGGTGTAATTCATGGTTTTAGCATTGTTTGAGGTGATTTGAGGGTTCGACTAAGTTTGTATGATGTTTTAGGACTTGTTGGTATATTTGGTTGAGGTCCCGAGGGGCTCGGGTGAGTTTTGGATGGTTAGCAGATCAAGAATTTGGACTTGAACAACTGTTGGAATTTTCTGATATCTGATGGTGTTTTCCTTCTATGCGATCGCGTGAATGTGTCTGCGATCGCGTAGGCTTAGTTGGTCAGTAAAGGTTTTTGTTCTACGCGACCGCGTGAGGATATCTGCGATCGCGTAGGGTTAATTTGAGGCAGTGATATTTTGTGCTTCGCGATCGCGTGAAGCGGGACGCGATCGCGTAGCTATGTGAGTTTGTTATTCGCGAACGCGAGAAGAAGGTCACGTTCGCGTAGAGGAAATGGGGCAGAAATGGAAATCATGCGTTTGTGCTTCGCGATCGCGTAGGTCTGTGATGTTGTGCATCGCGATCGCGTGGAAAAGTCCGCGATCGCGTAGAGTTAAACCTGGGCTGTGAAAAACTCTTCTTCGCGATCACGTGGTGATGTTCGCGATCGCGTAGAGCAAATGTCTGGGCAAGGAGTTTAAGTTCTGAAAATGGGACCTATTTTCATTTTTTGACGGATTAGAGCTCGGGAAGAGGCGATTTTCAAGAGTTTTTCAAGGAAAACAACGGAGTAAGTGTTCTTAACTCAATTTTGGTCAAATTACCCGAATCCATGGTTATTTTTATCATTTAATTGGTGAATTAAGTTGGAAAAGTCTGAAAACTCTCTTGGTTTAAATTGAAGATTTGAGGGTCGAGTTGGGGCCGAATTTTGATAAAATTGGTATGGTTAGACTCGTGGTTGAATAGGCTTTCAGATTTTGTAACTTTTGTCGAGTTCTGAGATGTGAGCTAAATTTCGAATTTTTATGGGAAATTAGCATTTTCTTATGGAATTAATTCCAATGAATTTATTGACTGAAACAAATTAATTTTGGCTAGATTCGAGGCGTTTGGAGGCCAATTCACGAGGAAAGGACATTGCAAATTAAGAATTTCACGGCTAGAGGTAAGTAAGAGTTTTAAATCTGGTCCTGAGGGTATGAAACCCTAGATTATTTTATTATGAGAGTATTTTGGAGGTGACACACATGCTAGGTGACGTGCGTGTGGGCGTGCACCGTAAAAATTGGGACTTGGTCCATTCCGTAAAACTGGAAAGTTGAATAAGCTTGTCGTTAGCTATGTGCCCTTTCTGTGCTTTAAAAATTTGACAGTGAAGCATGCTTAGGCTATGTGATGGTGCTGTAAAGACCACAGAGGTCTTGTACATGTTGAATTATCTGCCAAATTATTATTTTGTACTCAGTCACAGTTTACTTATTTATTTTATCTTAGTCTCTATTGTTCATTATTGATGCATCATATTATTGTTATTTGGGCTGAGTATCATTACTATTGAGAGCTCGAGAGACTGGAGAGATTTATGACTGAGTGAGGCCGATGGCCTAATTGTGAGATATTATACTATAGCATGTGAGTTGTCCGTGCAGCACGTGAGTTGTCAGTGCAGAACCTTTTATTATACTATAGCACGTGAGTTGTCCGTGCTGATCCAAATATTTATGCTATGGCACGTGAGTTGTCCGTGCAGCACGTGAGTTGTCTGTGCAGATTATAGCGCTTGGGCTGTAGGAGCCCTTCCGGAGTCTGTACACCCCCAGTGAGCGCGGGTACCCATTGAGTATGAGTGCTGAGAGCCGAGTGATTGGGTTGTTTTGACGAGTGAAGTGATTGTTGCCCTGAGAGGCTGTACTTGCTTTTCATTTATTATTGCACTTAGTTACTATTTGTTATTGTTGTGAAAGTCTCTGAAAGATTTTATATTCGGATTACATGAACTTGAACTGTATAAATTGATTTGACTTAAACTGCTGGATTTGAAAGCATGTCTATTCTCTATTGGAATTACTGAAAATGAGCTATAACTGTGTAGCTCGTCACTATCTTCAATTCTTTTTTTATTATTGTTACTTGCTGAGTTGGTTGTACTCATACTATACCCTGCACTTCATGTGCAGATCCAAGTGCTTCTGGACATAGCGGGTGCTGATTTTCTCGCACAATTAATTTTCCGGAGATTCAGAGGTAGCTGCCGTGTTTCGCAGACCTTGTCTCTCCTTCTCTATCTCCTTGTTTACTGTAGTTGGTCTTAGAATATTATAGACCATTTTCTTTTGACTTGTATCCATATTAGATGCTCATGTACTCAGTGACACCAGGTTTGGGAGCGTTGTATCGGAATTTGCTAGATTTTTAGTATTGTATTAAACATTATATTTTCAAACTTAAAGGAAATCGTGGGTTATTGATGTTGTCGGCTTGCCTAGTACTGAGAGAGGCGCCATCACGACAGGTTAGGATTTTGGGTCGTGACATCTATTATCGTAGTAGTATTAAATTACTATTTCAGATCCTATACGTTAACATGCATGTTCAATTTTCTATGCGCCTGCGGCTTGTTTGTTAAGTAGGTGTCGTCTTTTGACAATATGACATATGTCAAGAGAAGAGGCCTCTCCAAAAAATTGAAAAAGGTCAATCATTTGAAGAGCAGGGACAGTAACGAGGAGAATAGTTCTTAGCATTTTGCACCCTAAGGGTGGTTTGCTTAAGGTTTCTGTTGTGTGACATAAGAAACAATGATGCACATTTCTTTTTCAGGAAAGTGTCTGTTGTTATATACGATCTTCCTTACTTCAATATTTGAATTTTCTAAATATCTTTTAGCCTTCTGACCTTTCTATATTTTGGACGGTAAACTGAAAGCTATTTCTACTGTTTTCATCAATTTAGAAAGGATGAATGAGCAAGAATTGAAAAAATAAAAAATACGTTTCTGTTTATCTTGCTAAAAAAGAATTCTTGAATCCGTTGAGACCTTAAAGATAATCACTTTCATAAAGAGAGCTTGCAACTATCTTTTTCATAAAGAGAGCTTGCAACTATCTTACATATGTATAATTTTGTTGCCAGCCTCGATCTTCTCTAGAGAAGAAAAAAGAAGGGGAGCTGCATGTTGAAAAATAATACTCTTGCTAAGCCAAAGTAATAGTGAAAATTCATTTTAGAAAATTGTTCCAAACTTGAGAAGTTTAAGAGAGGACTAGGATTTGACTTTGCATTTGCCAACTCTAGTAATAAAATTTGTTTTTTTGGTGATAATGTTGTTAATTGTACAGTTATTGATGACATGCCTCAATATATTAATTGTTCAATCAACAACAACGGGGTAACATTATTCATCACTTTGGTATATGCCAACTGTAGGGCTCATCTCAAGGAATCACTGTGAGATGATATCCTATCTTTTTCTAATGATATGACTTTACCATGGATGGTCGCTGGCGACTTTAATTATATCGTGAGCCTGAGGAGAAGAAGGGGGTAGAATTCATAGTATGTCTAAAAGCCTTCCTTTCATTAATTGTATAGTAGGCAGTGGTTTAATGGACTTTGGCTACTTTGGTAACCCTTCACCTGGTGTAATGGGTGGGCATCTAGTAAGAGGATATGGGCAAGATTGGATAGGGCATTAGTAAACTCTGAATGGTTGCAAAGCTTTCCTGATATTTCAGTTGTTCATTTGGTCAGAACTGGCTCTGATCACGCCCCACTACTTATTTCTACGAACAATCAATGGGAGCCTAAGAAATATTTCAGATTCTTAAATTTTTGGACTGAACAAGAGGACTTCTTAAAAGTCGTTGAACAAGCTTGGCAAATACAGGTCGAATGAGGTCCTATGTGAAAATTTCATCTTAATCTTAAGAATGTTTGTAAGAGTCTCTCCTTCTGGTCTAGGAACACTATTGGGAATATTTTTGACAAAATCAAGGAACTACAAAATAGACTTGCAGAGCTTGAGAACAGATGTTTGAATGATAACTCAGAGTGTAATAGGATAGAGTACAACAATGTGAATGCTCAGCTTATCAGGCACATTAAAAATGAAGAATCTTTTTGGAGGCAAAAAGCTGGATTGAAGTGGTATTCAGAGGGGGATAATAACACAAGGTTCTTTGGTTCTGTTATCAATTCCAGAAGGAAAAAGCTAAAGTTAACAAGAATTAAAAAACAGGATGGCACATGGATTGAAAATAAGGATGACATAGTTACTGAAGCTGTTGCCTTTTTTGAACAACAATTTGCACAAGAGACTACATGTAGAGATTTTTCTATGCCCAGGAGGCTTCCCAGAGTGATAGGTGAAGATGACAACCTGACATTGGAGGCCATTCCAACTATGAATGAAGTGAAACAAGTGGTCTTCTCTATGAGTAGTAGTAGTTCACCTGGTCCAGATGGCTTATCTGGGAAATTTTTTCATCAGTGCTGGGATATTATTGCTAAGGATCTTTATGATGTTATACTGGATTTCTCTTTTGATAGTGAACTCTCAAGATCTTTCACTCACACATGCCTAGTCCTTATCCCTAAAATTGACAACCCCAACAATACACTGATTTTAGGCCCATTAGCTTAAGCAACTTCACTTCCAAAATCATATCCAAGCTGCTGAATACTAGACTATCCCCTTTGATGAATAAGATTATCTCCCCTAACCAAACGAGCTTCATAAAAGGGAGATCGATCTCTGACAATGCAATGCTCACACAGGAAATTGGTTCACAATTTAAAAAGGCCAAATATCAATGGGAATATAGTATTCAAACTGGACATGGCCAAAGCTTTTGATAGGGTTGCTTGAGACTACCTTTGCCAGACTTTGAGACAATTGGGATTCTCTGAATTTTGGATTGACATGGTTGCCAGGTTGGTCTCTAACAACTGGTATTCCATTAATTTCAATGGAGTTAGGCATGGATTTTGCAAATCCTCAAGAGGTCTCAAACAAGCCACTATCTCCCTCACTATTTGTTATTGGAGTTGAGCTATTATCTAATATGATGGATAAATTGAAGAATGAGAATTTCATCCCCTTTTTCGTGGACCATGGAAGTCCTTTGATCACTCATCTTACATATGCCGATGACACTATACTCTTTTCCTCTGGGGACCTCCTATCCATTTCCATGATAATAAGGAAGCTAGAAAATTGTGAGCAAGTCTCAGGCCAAATGGTGAATAAAAGGAAATTTTCTTTTCTGGTATCTCCATTTACTCCTATTTCTATCATAGAGGATATCAAATGCATTACTGGTTTTTCTCATTCCCCTTTCCCTTTTACTTATCTGGGTGCCCTTTTTACTATGGAAGATTTGTTTTTTGTTATTTTGGAAATATGGTGGCCAAAATAGCAAATAGAACTCAGGGGTGGAAAGGAAAACTTCTTTCTGTTGAGGGTAGAACGGTCCTTATCAGGTCTGTACTGCATTCACTATCATTGCATATCATATCTGTTGTGCATCCACTAAAAACTACCCTCAGAGATATTGAAAAATCTCTTGCTAATTTGTTTTGGGGATCTTTAGAAAGTAAGAGAACTTATCACTGGTTTTCATGGAAGAATTTATGTTACCCTAAGGTAGAGGGAGGGGTAGGATTTAGGTCATTGCATGACATGTACATTTCATTTGCTGCTAAAGCTTGGTAGAATTTCAGAACTCATAACTCCCTTCTCACTCTCTTTTTGGAAGCCAAGTACTGTAAAAAAGAAGTCGTCCAGTTTCTAAAAAGAAGAACTATTCTCAATCTTACTCTTGGAGAAGGCTAATGGATATCAGAAAAGATTGTGAAAAATATATCTTATGGAAAGTAGGGAAGGGCAACATCTCCTTTTGGTGGGACAACTGGACAAACAAAGGTGCATTAGCCAAAATAATTGGACAAGGCAACAAATCTAAGAATATTAGAGTGTCCAATTTAATCTCAAGCAATCGATGGAATCTGGAAGAGCTCCATGATGCTCTTCCTCCTAATTTGGTATCTCATATCGAGTCTATCAGTATTACTTCGGGAGAGAAAGATCAACCTATTTGGTTTGCGAATCACAATGGATCTTTTTCAACCAAATCAGCCTGGAAGGCTCTTAGGAAATCTAAAGGTTCCCCACTCACTCTCTCTAAGATTTGTCATAGTAAGTTACCATTCAAAGTCTCTTTCCATACATTGCGGTTATTGAATGGTAAATTAGCCACAGATGATTCTTTGGTTAAATTTGGTGTGCATAGCCCTTCAAAATGCTATTGTTGTCCTAATGGTACCTCTGAGTCTATTAAGCATATATTTTGTGAAAGTGTGGTTGTTGGAAAAGTTTGAAAATATTTTCAAGATGCATGTGGTTTGAGAATGCAATCTACAGGTGGCACAAGAGCCAAATTTATTAGACGGTGGATTGTTCAACCTCAAAATCAAGTTCATGAGTTGATATTGCAATGTTTTCCATCTGTTATATGTTGGGAAATTTGGAAGTATCGATGTACTTTTAAATATGAGGGAGTTAGAAATACTACTAGCAGTATCATTGCAAAAATTACATATCTGATACGACTGTTTCTTTCGGCCCAATTATCCTTCACCTTTCCCTTTCCAAGAATTACCCAAATGATTGATAGGATTAAGCCCAAGCTGAGCATCATTCCAGTGATATAGAATAATCCTGCTTTCGGTGAATTCAAATTAAATGTAGATGGGTGCAGCAAAGGAAATCATGAGAGCGCAGGGGGTGGTGGGATTTTAAGAGATCACCTTCGACATATGGTCATGGCTTTCACTGTGTATCTTGGGTGTTGCTCCAATAACTTAGCTGAGGTGCAGGCTATTAAAACTGAAATGAGGTGGTGTTTAGACCACGACTTTAACAGAATAACTATTGAATCAGACTCTTTACTTGCTCTTCAAATGATAAAGGGAGAAATCTCCACAGCATGGCAAATCAGAGAAGAAGTCAAAGAGATTCTAGAAATGAACATAGATGGACAGTTTCAATTCACTCACACCTTCAGGGAAGGTAACATTCCAGCTGATCTTCTAGCAAATTTAGCGAAAAGAGATAGAAAAAATCAGTCCTTCACTGGGGCTATAAACATGCCAAGGCAGATTACATCCTCAGTGAAAAATGATGAGTTAAGAAGACCAAGTTTTAGAATTAAGGTGAGGAAGAGCACCTTCATCTTTGATCCAGGTTGAATGTGATATTTGTGTTAAGTTTCATACTTAGCAATTTTTGGGACCTTAATTGTTTCAGGAGTAACCCTCCTCCTTTTCTTTCTGTTTTCTTAGGGATAAGACAATTGTAAAGTTGGATTTGTCCAATTAGCTCTATTTTGATGAGGTCAGGTATATGCCCCCTCTATGTTCCTTTTGACTTATCTTCAATATAATCTCCTATGAAGAACCTTTGGCCAAAAAAAAGAAAAAAAAGAAAATTGTTCATTGCGTTGCAAATTTCATGTTTTCTCGCAGACGCCTTTTTTTTGTCCTCCATGTCTTCGTTACATTCAGGGATTTGAACCGATGTGAAGAATATGAATTCCTAAAGATAAGGGGGATGGATACATGGTGCCTTTCGAGTTTGAGAATTTTACTGAAAGATCTGAACTTCTCAGATTAAAAGAAAATTGCGGGGTACCAATCCTTGACTCTTTTCATATATCTAAGCTAGCTAACTTATGCAATAACGAAAGGATAGGTTGTCACAGATGCGGTGCTAAACACTTCTCTATGGAGTTGCTGACTAATTCATGTGTTCCAAACGAAAAGAAGGATATGCAAGATAGCTTTCCAGAAAGAAAGAAATATCTTAACTTCATGTTCATCCCAGAAATTAGATGTTTGAGTGTTTAAGAAATCACCAATAAAGCTTTTACAGTTTTTAACATCTTTTTAGTTAGTTTGAAGCGAATATAAGCTAAACAACAAGGTAAATTTATATTTCAAGCTGACTTTCCCATGAGATGACTCTTCCTGGAGAATTATATATGATATTAGTTGGGTTCAAATATATGTCCTCAACCAAAAAAGATAATTTAAATACTAAAACATTAATTTTGATGTGATATTATAAATAAGATATAAACATCAATCTACTATAGTTAATTCCTTTTAATATTTGACCGCGCATCGCACGGGTACTAATACTAGTATACATAAGAAAAGAACAGCATATTACCTTACCAAGAGAAAAGGTTAGAACAGCTTACCGTCGTGCTTTTAGCTTTTATAAACTGGAAATAGTAATGAATCAACAGTGGTTTACTTGCATTGCCCACAAAGTATTTTAAGGTTAATATGGCATACAATGAGTAATTTTATCATTGCTCATATTGATAATTATACAAGCACCTACACAATTGCATATTCCTCTTGCATAAAACTTGGATTCTCTTTACACCACAATTTCTCAGTGTTCCAAAATTTTCCTATATAAGTTACAAAATTAGTGTGACATTTTGAAAATCAGCACGAACACATGTCGCATGTCAATCTCCTAACTGCTGTATTTCAATCGCTGAATTGTGCCTACAAGAGAAGTTGGTTATAGTGATGGGAACGTTACTTCCAGCAGAACCTAACTACTGTTTGTCGCGCTTGTATGTCAAAACTGCATGAGAATCAGACAATTTCAACCTCAAGGAAATCTCTGAATTTCAACCAATGGATAGACGCAAGACCATGCCATGAACATCTCTTCTCCAGCACTGATCGAGGACTCTTCGCCTTGTCAAGATATTCAGATCTACATGACTGCTGGTTTAATTAAGCAAGAGTGCTCTCAACATATTCCATTGCTTTTCTTTTCACAGCCTCCATTCGATCGTCATCACCAAGCGTCTTCTCATACTCGAGATACTTCTTAAAAAGGAACTGCACTCCAGACGTCAAAAGCCATTAGAAAACCATAGAATCGCTACCATCTTAAAACAATTAAGAAAAAACAAATCGCAAGAAAAATCATAAAGAATATTCCATGGTTTTTAAAAATATATAATCACCTTCATCTTTTTGGGTGGAAGGTTAAGAGTAATTGCCCTTTCAAATAAAGCACGGATCACTTCCGCATCTCCTAGTCGAATCTCCTGTTCATTTGATTTAATTTGAGTCATGTACAGTAAAAAAAGATTTTCTTTATATATACAAATATGTCTATGTATTTGTATCAAAGTTCAGTTTAAGACGGTACTTGATCAAGATAAACACTCCACAAGTCAGTTCTCTTGGGATACTCGCGAAGCATTTTCTCAAACAAGGAGCGACCCCTGTCAGGAACCCCACACTTGAACTCTAGAATAGCTGTCTGTGAAATAAACTTAATATGCTTGTGCGGAGGAAGACTTAGTAAAGCACGATTCACCACTGACTGGACCCCATCTTGGCTTTGTTTCAATAGCCACTGAACCCGCCTGAGCCAAACCTAAATGCAAAGAGAACAAATAGAGTTGGCAATAGTTAAATAGGATCAACCAAAATATTTCCAAAACCACTTTTAGTTGTCAGTACCGTGCACGAATGCTTGAACTTCTTAACCATCTTGTTAAGCAGTTCATCTGAGAGTGTGTGTTGCTCGGTCCTCTCATACATTCCTAACAAGGCCAGATGCACCTTTTTGGGATCACAATACTGCAATGCTCTTTGGAATACTTTTGCAACAGCTTCCTGGATCGAAATCAAGAATAAGGGCTTCAGAGGAAAATATAGGAGGAACTCTCATTGCAAAATGAAATATAACAAGCATAAAAAATGGATCAATATCTTTGTTTTGTCATACCTGTGAGGGATTTCCATACTCATTTTCTAAATTAAAGTAGGCAACCCAAACATTCAGCTTCTCCGACTCTTCTCGAACATTTATTGTCCTCAAAGCCCTTGGGAAAAGAATCAAGACACAATTAACAGGTTATATATAGATAATTTTCCATCACATTTTACACCTCACAGTACCTAAGAACACTAATGCACGAAAAAGAATAAATATCATGGCAATTTCACTTCAGTGGCCAAGTATGAGCTGTGCATATGACTTTGCACCTCATGTGGTTCTCTTAAATTGTTTCATGCAAAAGACTCCCCCTTTTGGAGCAGAAACATTATACTTAAAAGCCATATGTATATCACAAAAAAATCTCTTCCGAGTCCATTAAATCTGATGGTACAACCTGCCCAAGATAGTTTTTCCAAAAATGTGTTCTTAAGAATCCAGAAATCCATATACTTATCCTTAAATAATCTTTTCATGCTTGCAATTTGACAAGGTATACATGACATTATAATCTTATAACCTCGTCAACATATTGACTGTTCTATCACATTGGAGCACAAGAAGTAGACATAGTTTAGAAGAGTGACAAGAAATAATGGCTAACTGAGAGCTTAAATACCAATATGACGAGAGGCTTGTTTATTAACTCTTCATTTGGCAGAAAGGAAATTCACTGTTTGTTCTAGATGAAGAAGATATAACTTGAAAGATTTACCGTTCAGCAATTGAGCGTGCCTTCTCAACATCAGCCAAAGACAGCACAAATGCCATGTATTTTATCCAGACAAAGCTGCTATTTGGGGAACTTCTAACTAATTTCTCAAACTCATCTTCATCTCTGGGAATATCTTTTTCTAGTAATCTTTCCTCAGCAGCTCTAATTTCTTGTTCCCTGCATTAAAAAGATTGTATCACATGAAGACAGTAAAGATACAGACAACTTTGCTTTCTATGAATTTGTAAACCTGAAGAGAAGATTAATGATCAAACAGTACCTCAATCTTTTAGCTTTCTTTGCTGCTAGTTTCTTGTTCTTTTCATCTGAAGTACCTAAATTGCTAGCATCACCTGAGTCTTGATTAACTACATCGCCCACATCCAATTTTTCTATATCATCAAGTGGGACCTCCAATGGTGGTATTGATGCCCGAGATTCAACTTCAGCAAGGAACGGGTCCATCCCATCTACAGATTCTTCGTCAAGATTATCCCGTTCTTGGGAGCTCCTCTCAGGTGAAGGAGTTGACTCGATACCTCTGGAAAGAGCATTTCCTTCCATTGCACAACCAGAACTGTGCCTTATATTTGTTTCACCACTTGTAGCATCATTAAAATATGAATTCTTCATCCCAAGTGATATTCTCTGTCTTTCCTTATCCACCTAACAAAAGGTTGAAAAAAATGAGTTTGAGTGAAACAGACCCAGATGGAAGAAATAACACACAAGCTACAGCCTAAGTCATCACTCGTGTTATTCTGGAAGCTATATTAGCACTTGAAGTGCTTCAGATGGTATGATGATTAAAGAACTTGAGATGCGCAAATTAAGTGAATTCGCTTATATAACGTGGGGTAACATTCTTATTATTGTCTGAACCAGGAAACCAAAAACCAAGAAAAGAAAACAAAGAAAAAGAAACAAAGCAAGGCATATAAGCAAAAAACTTTTCCATTACTCTCCCTTTTCCTTTTAGTTTTGATAAAGTTTCCACCTAGTCCAAAGTATTTGTCTACTCAGTGGAACTGCATTGTCATACAGAACAAGCATTTACCTTCAAAATCTTTGCCGTCACTCTATCTCCAGCTTTGTATCTAGAGTCAATATTGTTGACATGATCGTCAGAGATCTCTGAAACATGGCACAATCCAACCTAGAAAATGAAGCTGAATCATCAGCACACAAGTAAAACACAAGCTTTCTGCTAAGAAACATAGCTCATCAATATTGTAAACTGATGAGAAAAACATATTCATGATGAACACCAGAACTTTCTTAAAGAATAGAGAACTTGTTTATAGCTGATGAAAATACAAGACAAGAAAAAAGATACACTTATCACTAAAGAGTCAAGAAGTTGCTTTACAACTGATGAAATTACAATACGTAAAAAGATATAGACTGAATTTCCTGTGAGTTAAAGCATGTGAAAAAGTACTAATGTGGTAACTTGAGTCGTAACTTACTACCCAAAGGCAAGTCATAACTGTTGGAAGTGACCAGTTACATACCATGTTTGTGTGATCAACTAGGATAAACAAGCCATACGGTTCAACTCGCTTAACTCTGCCAGTTATGACATCCCCAACAGTCAAATTACTTAGAGCATCTTTATCAGACTTGGAAGCACTGCCTGCACTTGATGTCCTTAGAGTGACTTCAACTCGCTTAGACAATGGCTCCACTGACACCACCCTACAATAAAGGAACTTAGTATACGACAACATGAGGATTGAGACATAAATAGTTTATCCATACTGACAAAACTTACTTGCCAACGACAAGTTTCCCAACAGGGAATTCTTTCTCCGGGTTTTCAACATAGCCATCATACAAGTTTGAGAGAAGAACTTTTGCATCAACTTTGCGCGAAAGCATTACGAAACATCCTTTCGGTGTAACATTTTTCACATATGCCTAAAAGTATGAAAATGGGAAAAGAAGAGAGGAACCTCCACATTAATTAACTCGCAGAAAAGGAAATCCATCATCATTGCAGATGACAGTAACATCGATAAACTGATACGCTAAAATGATTTTAGTAATGAGTTCATCAGTACAATCAGGTCATATCCTATGTGTTATCTTTTTATTCTTTTACAACTGAGAAGCCAGTTCATATCCTATATGTTGAACGATTTTAATGGAAAACGATGAATAGACAACAAATTTTGTCCTGTGCATATATAAGAATGAGTTTGTTATGACCTCAGCACATATCCATTTATTATACATATAGAATACAAGAGGCATCTGCTAGCAGTCGCACAAAAAGTTCAGACTTGAGACCGTGTGAAAGAAGTTTCATATGAAGGATGCATAAACCTTTCAGCAGAAAAGTAGAAAGGAAAAAGAAACAAGAAAAACCATATATGCGATGCAATGGAATCAGTTACTTCAAGATTTTGAAATTAGTGGGCAGGAAAAAGAAAACGTATCTGAAGGGAGTGTCATTAGCATCAATTACAAAAATGTAGTACACTTTCCAATCTTCCCACATATATAACATATCTTTTAAGACACCAGCCACAGTAAGCAGAAGAGATTAATCAATCAGCAAAGTGGCACTTGAGAAATTTTGCATTGGTACTATAAGTGACAGCAGAAAGGAGAAGGTTAACTTCAGACAAGTATGGGGATGAAAAAGGGACTTGGGGTACAAGGGGCTAAACAGTTCATAAGGGACAGCTCAATGGAAATATGTAATGAATTTTGGGTGATCAAGAACACGTAAGCTGAAATTGGGAAGACATTCTTTCAGCAACCCTTGGTTTGAAGTCAGTTCATTGAGGAGAGACTTGACGTTTAAAAAATAACTAAAAGGTTTTGTTTTGTATTTTAGGGGGAGGGCATTAGCTGTTAAATGTTAGCTTCTTTTCGCTATGATGCAGTTTTGTCCCTAAATGTGAAATCTGATGTTTAATATGTAGGGTGTCGGTTGGTTTATGCCACTTACAGTGAAGGATTTTATAGAAAGCTGAAACTTCGAGAAAAGCAGATGTTGGATGAATAGCAAAGGAAATTATCCTCCTTGTGGGATTTTGGGATTATGGTCGGGAAGGAGCAAGTGATTACCTAGTAGTGATGTCGATGAGATATTAGGCAGATCACTTCATTTGGTCCAAGGGAGGAAGAGAATCATATGATTTCTCCAACCACTGGAAGAATACGTCCCTTGGACCTCAGGGAAAGACAAGGTATTTTACCTCAGCCTTACTTAAGAGAGGGATTGAACCTAATTTGAAGGGTTTTAAAGCCTTCCCAACTAGATGATAAAGATGGCTTTCCTCCCTCTTTAAGTACCCCCAATCTTCTGATTTTCAATCTAGACAAGAGTTACATAAGATTCAATACCAGATGATCATAAAAATTAACTTAGAGACATCTATCAGAGTGTCATTGTCAATGTTGCACATTATCTTTTGCGTGAAGGGGGAATGAAAACAAGACGCAAGCAGAGGCGAATAATATAGGTTTGAAAAGGTCAAGAAAACTACAGAAAGAGCATTGATTGCATATTAATGCAGTTTGCAAAGGGAAAAAAAATACATCTAAATCACGTTGTACCTGCACCGCCATATTTGGACGAAGATCCTCTATCTTCTCCACCAATCCAGGAAAATTCCTGAATAAAAGTGAACAAAGAAAAGAAAAATAAATCAATCAAAAATAAAAAAGAGCAAAGAAATGATATGGGTGCCAACCTCCTATATATCAACATTGTTAGATAAGCTCAAGGAGGAAAGGAAGCAGAGGGGGAAATACGGGTCTCTGAATACTTCTTTTGGTATAAGTAATAAACTTCTCATCCAATTGTTTAGTGTAGTTGGAAAGACATCTAAATTGTTTCTTTTGATTCTAGAGGGACTGGAAAAGCTAATTAATGT